GAACAGTGGCCACTCATCTTATCCAAGACATCATCCCCCGGTTTGGACTCCCAGCCACCGTACAGTCGGATAACGGCCCAGCCTTCATCTCTAAAGTTGCTAACGCTGTTTCCACTTCCTTAGGAATCCAGTGGAAATTACACGCTGCCTATCATCCCCAGTCTTCTGGTAAGGTAGAACGGGCCAATGGCCTCATCAAGGAACATTTAACCAAACTTATGCTCGAATTCCGCCAGTCCTGGGTTACACTGCTCCCCATCGCCCTTGCCAGGTTAAGAGCAAGTCCTCGAGGCCCAGCACAGCTTAGCCCGTTTGAGCTACTGTATGGTCGCCCCTTCTTACTTTCAACTCCTCCATCACCCGAAGCCACTCCTTTAAGTAATTACCTCCCATACTTCACTCTCCTTTGAAATCTCCTTAGGGAACACGCCAATGCCTCTCTTCCACAGCCCACTCAACCATCCGAAACCACCCAAAAGGTATCTCCGGGTGACTCAGTCCTTATTAAATCCCTCTCCCCAAAGCCTCTCGCCCCCAAGTGGGAGGGACCCTACACTGTCATCCTCACCACGCCATCAGCCATAAAAGTTGCTGAACTTCAATCATGGGTCCACCTGTCACGGGTAAAACGAGCACCACCACCCTCACCCTCCTGGAAAGCAATCCCTACAGGCCCCCTGTCCATCAAATTAACTAAATTCTAATTTTTCTAAAATGCTAGTCCTGGCAGTCTTCCTGACCGTTCTGCTTCCAGGAACTCGTGCCGGTTTTGACCGTAAGTACAATATCAATCAGGTATTAATGGCGGCGTACGGTAATCCTTGTGAGTGCTCAATAAAAGTCAGCAGCCCACCATCCAACTATGTTCAATCTCAGGATTGTTCAGGCCAAAAAGCCTATCTTATAACCGGGGTTCAAAGTACAGGCGTAAAAAACCAACCCTATTATGTCTGTGTTAAACAGGCCACAATTACCGTAGTAACCCCCGGTTCCCCCCTTCCCGAATGCAACTGTTCTAATTATAATACCCCTTCTGTTCACTCATCCTGTTACAAGGAGTTTGCACAATGCCAGCACAATAACCAGACATATTTCGCCGCAGTCCTACTCCGTGAGCGTGCAGAAACATTTGGGGGAGATTACACCATCCCATCCCCTTTAGGTGTCTCTTACAAGCTGGCTCAGGCCGGCTGCCCCCCAGGTAAAGTCGGACAAGTCGTCTGCTGGTCATCCTCTCCCCAGGTCGGGTTAAGTGATGGGGGAGGACCTCATGACTAAATAAAAGCCCATCATGTTAAAAAAACCTTGCAAGCCTTGCTCCCCCCATTTCTCTCATATCATCCCTTAGCTGTACCAATGCCCAAAACCCAAAACCTACGGTCAGACCTCCAAAGCACCCTATACACTATGCACAAGGCTCTTAACGATTCCGGGTATTTTCAGAACTCGGCTCTGCCTGTCGTTTGGCCCCCCACTGCCTGTCGCTGTGCCTAGTAAAATAACTTCAGCACCTTCTACCACAAATAAAACTCACAGTCTCCCTTTTCCTGTCCAACTATACCACATCACTTGCACTAATATTACCTGTCTCAGTAAGCCCCCACAAAACAACTCCTTCAACTTAGACGTGGGGTCTGTAGGGCCTGCCTGCGACTGCTCTCACCATATCAATGTTACTCAGGAACTTTTTTCCCCAGAAGGCCAGGTCTTTGTTTGTGGCTATAATCTAGCTTATACTTATCTCCCCGGCAACTGGACTGGCAGCTGCTTACCTGCTTTCCTCTTGCCTGAAGCTAGTGTCCTTCCCGGAAACGAACCGGTACCCATCCCTAGCTTCGATTTCTTAGCGGGACGAAAAAAGAGAGCTCTACAGTTCCTCCCATTCATAGCTGCTTTAGGGGTAACTGCTGGAATTGGAACCGGCGCTGCCGGGCTAGGCTATTCCCTGCAGTCTTACCAAGCTCTTTCCCAACAACTTATCAATGATGTTAGTGTACTTTCAGGAACCATAAAAATAATCCAAGACCAAATAGACTCTCGCAGAAGTCGTCCTTCAGAACCGCCGCAGGCTTGATCTCCTTACCGCTGAAAAGGGAGGAATATGCCTGGCCCTTGGAGAAAAGTGCTGTTTTTACACCAACCAATCTGGAATAGTCCAGGAAAAGATAAAGGCCCTGCAAGACGACCTAGCGAAGAGACGACAGGCCCTAGCCGACAACCCACTTTGGGAAGGGTGGAACGGCCTTCTCCCGTATATTCTTCCCTTCCTGGGACCCCTACTTGTTGTCTGCCTAATCTTACTCTTAGCTCCCTGTTTCCTACAGTTCCTACAGCAACGCTTCCGAGAGCTGACCCGAGTCACCCTCAACCAAATGCTCCTCCAGCCGCTCAATGCAATCGAGCAGACCAAGGAAAGCCTCCGCTGGCTAGCCTAACTCCTTATCTCCTTCCCCTCGTCGCCCAAAGTCAGCAGGAAGCAGCCAGAGAGAAAACCATCGCCCCTTTCCCTCTTTTTTTTTTTTTTTTTGAGACGGGGTTTCGCTCTTGTTACCCAGGCTGGAGTGCAATGGCACGATCTCGGCTCACCGCAACCTCCGCCCCCTGGGTTCAAGCAATTCTCCTGCCTCAGCCTCCCTAGTAGCTGGGACTACAGGCGTGCGCCACCATGCCCAGCTAATTTTTGTATCTTTAGTAGAGACGGGGTTTCACCATGTTGACCAGGATGGTCTCGATCTCTCGACCTCGTGATCCACCCGCCTCGGCCTCCCAAAGTGCTGGGATTACAGGCTTGAGCCACCGCGCCCGGCCGACCCTTTCCCTCTTTAAGGAGTTGGGAATGTCTGGTAGAGGACCCTTGGATCCCCTCTTGCTCCCACTCAGGCCCCGGCCACGTGGAAAGTATCTAACCTCACCATGTGGAAATCCTTTATCTTACCCTGCCCAGCGTCCTAGCCCCAAGCACAAACAACCCTGGGTGACTCAGCAACCTTCTGCCCAGCAACCGATCAGACCAATCACCGACCGTCTCATCAGCCCTTCGCTGACTTCCCGCCTGATGGTCAAACTGACCGATCACCATCTGCCGCATCAGCTCCTCCACTTCCCGGTTCCCCCACCTCTATAAAAGTCACGGAACAAAGAAAACCGGCGCGAGACTGCTGACTCTCCACTGCTGTACGGGTCCAGTCAGTCCGCCCGGGGATTTTTCCAATAAAGCCTAAACATTCTGTTCATTCGGCTCCATTTGGCTCAATTGGCTTAATTCCTGGGGTCTCAGCAAACAAGTGGTCCAGGCAGGCCGGACACTAACATTCCTGTGCCCCCAGATATTTTGCATCACTGGCTCCTTATTATTCAAATTTCAGGTCAAATACCATCTTAGAAAGCACTTTTCTGAGCCCCCGTCTAAATAAGTTCACACTATCTTCAAGTCCCTCTATCACATCACCCTGCCTTAACTTTCCTCATGGCACTTCTGGCTGTCTGAAATCTCATTTTGTCTTTAACAACTTACGCATTATCTGACCCTCCTCTATGGTAGAAGTTCCTGTCTATCTTGCTCACAAGTCTAGAACAATGCACATAGTAGGCAATCAGGATGTGTTTGTTGAATAAATGAATGAATCCTCACTGGCACTGACATGATTTTTAAAATGTTTAATTTGCAAGCCAGGCATGGTGATTACTCCTGCAATCCCAGCACTCTGGGAGGCCAAGGCTGGCAGATCACTTGAGCCCAGGAGTTCAACATCAGCCTGGGCAACATAGTGAGACCCCATTTCTTAAAAATAAATAAAATAAAAATGTTTAGTTTGCATATTTTGGATTAAAAATAAAGTTTTTACTTAGGAATGTCTGTGTTTCTTCATTGGATACCCTTTCCATTTCTTCTATAATTAAAACAAACCACCCTTCACCCATTTTTCTATTGGGTGTTTTTTTTTCCTTATCAATTTAAATGAACTTAAGATACTGTCAAGTTTGTGACCAGTATACTTCCCAATGTGTTTTATTGATTTTGTTCCTGTGTCCTTGGGAAGAAGTTCTAAATTACCAAGCAGTCATGTATCAGTGTATTCCACAGCAGTCTGTTTAGCTGCAGGCAGTGTGGAGTACCAAGCAGTGAAGCCTGCACTTTGAGGTTTACTTACAATCTATGACTTCAGAGAAGTAGGCCAATTATTTAGCTTCCAAATCTCATGTTACTCAATTGCAGTTTTCATTTGTAAAATGGGGATAAATGGCACCAAATACATCACAGAATCGTGAAGATTAAAGGAAATGAAGGCTATTAAATGTCCTTGGTAGTGTGCACATTTAAAATGCCTCCAAATAAGCATACAAGCATGGTCAAGAACTAAGATGTATTTGGCTATTTTCATGTTGAGAGTTCGTCTTAGTTACTTTTTTTTTTGAGACTGGGTCTTCCTGTCACCCAGGCTGGAATGCAGAGGCACGAACATGACACACTGCATCCTAAACCTCCTGAGCTGGTGATCCTCCTGCTTCAGCCTCACATGTAGCTGGGGCCAAAGGCCCGTGCCACCATGCCCAGCTATTTTTTTACTTTTTGTAGCAATGGAGGCGGGGGGAGGGGGGAAGGATCTCATTTTTTTACCCGAGGCTGGGGTTGGCCTCCAACTCCTGGGCACGTGCCATCCTCCCACCTTTGCCTTCCAAAATGTTCAGATTACAGATGTGAGCCACTCGCCCAGTCTTCTTAATTCAGATATGTTATAAATTTTCTTAAATATTTTAATTACTTCCTCCTTAAGCAATTTATTTTGGTGCACCAGGCCACTTACCTAAAGTCAGCTTTGTCTTTTCACTAGGCGATTGGCCCACAGAGTAAACTTGAAGCGCCAGCCTATCGGCAGGGAGCGAACCGGCAGCCCGGAGTCCACTCCCTGCGGATGGGCGGAGCCTTGCGCAGGCTGTGCGGGGCGGGGCGCGCCCTGGACCCGCCCCCGCCCCGCCCCGCCCTCGTCCTCTTGCTCTGCTTGTCCAGCCCTAGGTTCTGGTGGATCCCAGCGGCCCCGGCAGCGCTCCGGACGCTGCAGACCTGTTCTCTATCGTCGCTCCACTTTCACCTCCAAGACTCGCACGTGAGTGCAGGCCTCTCCCCCTTCCTGGTCGGGTGAGGCACCAGCCCCGCAACCCTACCTCCTGGGGGAAAAGCAAAGTCCTGGCCTGGAGAATCCGGGCCCGCAGGCTCAGTGCGGCGGGTCCCGCCCGGCCTGAGTGCTGGAAGTGCTCCATGGGCTTCCGGGGATCGGCAAGTCGCGCGGGGGGCTCCCGCTCTAGGTCGCGGCCTGGCGGGACTCAGGCACCGTTAGCGCCTCCTGGAGGAGCCCGGGCTCAGGATTCAGCTCTGGGCCGTAACGCCCTGCCTGGGCCTGGCGTTCGCGCACCTGGGGTTGGAGGTTGGCTGGTATCTGCTCTCATTCCCTGGGCGGAGAGGGTCGGGCCTGTGGCCCACAGAAGGGTGGCAGGCCCTGAAATCGCTGCAGCACCACGCGGGGAGATGGATAGGGTACCCACACCACGCCCTTGGTGAAGCCAGTGCCCAGGTGGACAGGGCGTGCGCGCTTCAGAGCAGCCGAGAAGCTGGTAGATGGGGTAGGAAGAGGTGACTCCTGATTTCAGAGTAAAACGAGGAGATTGTGAGAAGTACCCTAGCAGCTCCCGTTTCTCCTCCAGCTTCAAGATATTTCTGTCTAGTGTTTTGGGTTCTCTACACGAGGGTTGTGGAAGAAGTGCAGGGCCAGAACCTGTTGGGACCCAGCAGACCAGTGTTGTGCTTGATGATCATCTGCACTTCTTGCATATCCTTAGTATTGTCTTTTCGAGGCCACCTCTATAGTGGCTAATCAAATAGAGGGAAGGGCAAGATTGAATATTTCGACTATTGATTACAATGTCTCACAACAACTGTGCTAGACAGTTTTATATGTTAGCTTCTTTAATGCTCCCAAGCACTTTTTGGAGTGATATTACTCTGTTTCATACTCCAGGAAACTCAGATTGAATAATTCTTCAAATTACACGACTGGTAAGTGGTGGCATTAAGGTTGGAATTCAAGTCTGTATGGTTTTAGGGTACAGCCTTTATTGCTTAATGTACAAGAATATTATTCTCGGGATAAGGCAGATACCTAGGTTTCACATCTATGCTATGAGGGCTGTTAGCTGTATGTGACCTTGTACAAGATACTTCACCTTTTAGGGCTTGTTTCTCCATTTGTGAAATAGAGATAAAATGTCACAAGGTTGCTATGAGAATTAAATTAGATCCTACTTGTAAAATATTTAGCAAAGTGCCTGGCACATAGTTAGTAGTAAGCTATATATAGCCACATATATCCTGATATTGTCATTAGTTAGGGTCAGCAAACAAGCTCTGTGTGTTTGCTGCCAACCAAAGCCCAACAGAACTTGAAGAAGTCTAGAAGAACATAGGTAGAGGGAAACAGCAAAGGATAGGAAAAGAAAAGGGAACTGAAAACAGATGACATATATGATAGCAATTATAATGACACCAATAGATGTCTCGGGTATTAATATGTGGTACCCAGGGCCACTTTTTGCCTTTGTGAGAATTTTTAAGAAAGCAGTTCCTTTTGGCTGATGAATTGGAAAAATAGATCCCACTCTGGGCTGAAAAATTTCAAACTCTGTGACTATATCATTTTGAGGCTCTGGATGTGAAAGGGAGCTGAATTTTAAGACTCCACAGACCAAAGGTGCTTGGCACAAACAACACAATAAAGTGTGCAGTTCTCTTTCAGGATTTCTTCTGTCAGGTTTAACCCCTAAAGAATGGGAAGGGAGAGGAGGTTCCAGAATGGGAGAAACAAAGGGAGTATTTGCCATTAAGTGTTGCATAATGACTGGACACCTCTTCTAATTTTACCTGTAACTGTGAACACTTCGTAGACAATGGCCTTCATTTTCCACATAAATTTATGGTAGCCTATTATACACTTTAAAATATTTTATTTTCTATACCTTTTATGATGATATCACTGCTGCCCTGAGTATTTCCCTTGCAGTATCTGTTTAGGTACCTAGTTCATTTGTACTCCAGCAGCTATCAATTCTTTTCTTTACTTGTTTATTTATTTTATAGTGAAGATGAGGTCTTACTATGTTGCCCAGGCTGGTCTTGAACTTCCAGGTATAAGTGATCCTCTTGCCTGGGCCTCCCAAACTGTTGGGGTGACAGGTGTGAGCCACGATGCCCAGCCCTATCAATTCTTGGTATAGCTTTATCCATAGTTTCCTTTGCCCTCTTTATTTTTTGGTACTATCACTGGGCTTTTTTCCCCCTTACTATTCTTAGAGTTTTCATTTTCTTTTTTTTCTTCTTTTCACATGTTTTTTAGTCAGTGATATATTATGCTAGAAAGTGTGCCTGTTAGCAGAATTAAAAAAGTTAATGTTAGATGTGAAAAATGATTACATGTCGTTTGACCTTCAAAGATTCATAATGCCACCACTGCTCATCAGAGCATGATCTTTCAGGTGATCTTTTAGCAAGGCTCAGTGTCACTTCTATTGGTGGTACTCAACGACCTCAAGGAGTCTTTTTTTTTTTTTTTTTTTTTGAGACGGAGTTTCGCTCTTGTTACCCAGGCTGGAGTGCAATGGCGCGATCTCGGCTCACCGCAACCTCCGCCTCCTGGGTTCAAGCAATTCTCCTGCCTCAGCCTCCTGAGTAGCTGGGATTACAGGCACGCACCACCATGCCCAGCTAACTTTTTGTATTTTAGTAGAGACGGGGTTTCACCTTGTTGACCAGGATGGTCTCGATCTCTCGACCTCGTGATCCACCCGCCTCGGCCTCCCAAAGTGCTGGGATTACAGGCTTGAGCCACCGCGCCCGGCAAGGAGTCTTAACTAGAACATTTCTTTACTGTACCCACCATTACCTTCATCCTGCAATCTAGCTTCCTTCCCACCAATTTTGTCCCTTGTTCTTACTTGTGTGTGGGAATCTTATTGGGGTTCTTTTGGAGAGACTGTTTATTCTTTTAATATAACAGCTTAACAGTATGCAATCATAACATTTTAAAAGATGTTAAAATTAGTATTATGGACATATTTACTAATGTGAATTAGGTGTATAGCATATTAGTGAGTTTCCCCATGAAAAAATAGAAGGGAATACTACATGTTCATTTTAGCAAATCATTTTGAAATGGCCTCTTTCCAGGCCGGGCACGGTGGCTCAAGCCTGTAATCCCAGCACTTCGGGAGGCCGAGGCGGGTGGATCACAAGGTCAAGAGATCGAGACCTTCCTGGTCAACATGGTGAAACCCCATCTCTACTAAAAATACAAAAAATTAGCTGGGCATGGTGGCGTGTGCCTGTAATCCCAGCTACTCAGGAGGCTGAGACAGGAGAATTGCCTGAACCCAGGAGGCGGAGGTTGCGGTGAGCCCAGATCGCGCCATTGCACTCCAGTCTGGGTAACAGAGCGAAACTCCGTCTGAAAAAAAAAAAAAAAAAAAAAAGAAATGGCCTTTTGCCAAATAGTTGTATTAAGTCTAATTCCTATGAAAATTTCCAGAGCAACTGTGTGGTTTCTGGACATGTTGTTATTTGGTTATTTCACCTTTTGGGGCTTTTCGTTTACTGCCTCTAGACTTTAAAGTGATGGTCAGTACATGTGAAAATAGGTATCTGCAACTGTAAAGAGGAACTTACTTATCTGTCCACATTTTCATGTTTATGGGTTAGAATTTTTTAAAAAGAAGTGAAAATTAAGACAAGTACTTCCTGATGGAATTGTCAAAACAGGTTTATAAAAACAAGTGTAAAACTGCACCCCACCTTTAGTATTTCTTGCCCTCCTTCATGATCGTTCCCTGTATCACTTACTGTCACCTAACATACTATATATGTTACCTGTCTTGGTTGTCATCTGCCTCCCTGCAGTGTAACTAACCTCTCCTGGACAGGGATGGTTGTCTCCTTTGTTTATTGTTGGCTCTCCAGCACCTTAGAACAGTGTCTGACACACAGTAGGCAGTCTATAAATACTTGTTCAATAAGTGTTGAATGACTTAATAGTACTATAAAATCTCTCATGATTGGGAAATATAAAGGGATTTGCCCTAAAATTAAAAACAGCTGAAATGTATGTGTTAAGCAACCAGGACATGAATATTCTTGAAATCAGGAAATGTGTAAACATCTCAACAGTCTTTGCCCAATATACAAACTTTTTTTTTTTTTTTTTTTTTTTGAGACGGAGTTTCGCTCTTGTTACCCAGGCTGGAGTGCAATGGCACGATCTCGGCCTCACCGCAACCTCCGCCTCCTGGGTTCAGGCAATTCTCCTGCCTCAGCCTCCTGAGTAGCTGGGATTATAGGCACGCGCCACCATGCCCAGCTAATTTTTTGTATTTTTAGTAGAGACGGGGTTTCACCATGTTGACCAGGTTGGTCTCGATCTCTCGACCTTGTGATCCACCCGCCTCGGCCTCCCAAAGTGCTGGGATTACAGGCTTGAGCCACCGCGCCCGGCCATACAAACTTTTTAAACCTTGAGAACCAAGTGGTTGTGGTTGTTGCTGCTATAAACTGAAGGCATTTTTAGATCATTTGTTCACCGTGAACCAGAAAGGAGCACGGAGTGATAAAATTGTGAAGTGCCTGTCTTAACCAATTAAATATACATGCTCCCCTAAGAAGAGAAGAAGGGAGTCAGATTTTGGAAAGCATCCACTTAGCGTCAGGGCATAGTGGACACCAGGGCAGGTGAGAGGTTCTGATGGCTAGTTCAACATCTGGGAAATTCGAGAAGAGGGGAAAATCTTAAAGTGGTCTGAGGGGAATGAGAACCCCAGGGGACTTCAGTCTCCGCAGATTGGTGTGCCTTAATATCAGATCCAGCTTGCCTGCTGCACAGCCGGCCAGCAGCTTTACTTAGTCCTTATAATGGAAAACTTCAACTGAATACTTGGGATTTTCAGCTAGGGATGCAGCTCTGATTTTCAAGTGAGGGTAAAAGATGATTCACTTTGTAGACAGGTATTTTATAGCCAGCTTTGCCAAGATGCATGTTCTATAAAGTGAGGCAATAGTGAGATGTTGCTG